CTCTGCTGGCCAGCGAGGGGAATGACTGGGACCGAGTCGGTGACACATATATATCCTGAAAATGTGTCAGTAAACTTATAGATTTCAGCTTTATAAAAGTTAAACGTGTTATGGAAAAATACCCAAAGACCTGTTCTTGCACAATGGTTAAAGGAAATGTCTGATAATCTTGCTCTTGAAAAATTAACAAATTTAATCAGAGGTAAAGCAGAGACTTTTAAACAAGTCCCATTTTGTATTGTTTGCTGGGTTTTGTAATATAATTCAAATCAATAAAAACAAAGTTGGAAAAAATTATGCCACAGAATATTTATACGAAACTGAAGAGTTCAGTACATGGAAATAACATACCATGCACTGCAAAAAAAGCTTTTCTTACTTAAATGTTTTGTCTTGTTTCTAGTCTAAATATCTAAATATTCTTAAATCACGAAGCAAAATTATTTAGGCCAGCTGTTGGCCTATACGGTTGCTATGAAAAGAACAACGCATGTCTGAGCATACTCCACATTGGTTTGGGTTTTTTTATTGTCAAGTATTCACAGATTTGAATAGACTGTTTTATAACATATAATTTGCCTGTGCATCTCTGTGTTCACAAAATCAAATATTTGTAGTTTTCATTGTGAAAAGTGATTAGTTACTTAAAGTGAGTAAATCCATTGCCTTAAAAGCAACAAGTTGACTTTACTTGAAAATAAGTAAACTCGTAACTTGTAACTGACAAGTTGACTTAGCTTAATATTAATAATTCAGCTAATTCTACTTACTTTTTTAAGTAAAGTCAACTTATTGCTTTTTACAGTGTATATAGAGAAAATAACAGTTTGAGACACTTTTGTTGTCTCATTAAACGGTCAAAAAACAAAAAAAGGTTTATCATTTTTATATTAAAATGGAGTCATGTAAAAGCTTACGTAATGCGTTGGAAGTAGGCCTAATATGTATTTTCTGTTGGAGCTGGTGATTGTGTATTGAATTTCCTCTGTAATGCTGAGGGCTTATCGATCTGTTTCCCAATTATTAGTAGTTAACATCATACAGCTGGCCATAATTCAGTCCGGCACTCGCATGGAAGAGCACAGATACTGCTGTGGAGAAGAGCAAGAGGACACATCTGAAATGACATCAGTGCTCACTGTGCTCTGTGTTATTGCATTTATAAGCTATAAAAATCCAGTACAGCACAAACCCTCTATAGTAATATTGCTTAGCCTAAATTATTTCATTCTTCTTTTGTACATGTTTCTTTTTCCCACTTTGTGAATGTTCTGTTTTATGCAGAAGTCTATGACTTGTCGGCTGGTGAGATGAAATATAGATTTTAAAGGTTTTAAACATTATTTTTATTTAGTAATTATGTAATTTCTAGTTCTCGGTTGTGGCAGCAAGGGCATGCGCTTCATAAAACATATGCTGGAATAGTTGGCGGTACATTCCATTGTCGCGACCCCTAATAAGTGAAGTTTATTTATAAACTAATTTCGAGAGGATCACGTACTTATAATTGACATGGCCTTGGGTCAAGCCAATATACAGTACGAACCACCAATCAGACGATTCCTAATTCAGTATAAATAACCAAAGCATCTTACCTTTAGTCATCTTCATCTTGAAGAATCCCCACCTCCCACCCCCTCTCCTCCTCTCTTTCTCAATTGACCTTATTCTAAAATGCAGAAGTGCGCCTGTTTTTGGGATTGTCTTAGAACTTCCGATTCAGTCGCCTATGGGAGAAATGACTAGGAATAATAAACGGCAGAAAATGGCCAAACTACTTGCTCAACAAACAAATGTTTGCATGACTACACAGACCAAGTAGCATAATATAATAAGAAAATATTAAATTGCAACATCAAGCAGCGTAACGAGCAGTTGTTAACGTCAAAAAATGAATGGAAGTGAATGTGACCGGAAGTCGCGAGACAAAAAGATTCAAATGGCTGCGCCCACTCGTCAGCTGAGAATAAGGTGAATAGGGCAGCATGGTGGCTCAGTGGCTAGCACTGTGGCCTCACAGCAAGAACGCCTCCGGCTCGGGCCTCCACCCAGCCAGTTGGCATTTCTGTGTGGAGTTCATGTTCTACCCGTGGTTGTGTGGGTTTTTTCCCGGGTCCTCCGGTTTCCTCCCACAGTCCAAAACATGAGACATAAGTAAAATGACTACCGGTAAACCAAATCAGCACCATAGTCAAAATCCACCAGCAACACACCCTCATAGCAAACTTTAAGCAGCAGGAGGGGGGAGGGGTTCTCGAGATCTACCTGAGCTCAAACTCCCCTCTCGCCCCGCAAACGGGAGGGAGCCCTGGGCTCGAGGATCTCATGAGGTCAGGGCTCTCTCCCGGGACAGCATGCCAAACTAGCTATTTCCAATCATCAGCTAAGTGTGAACTCTTGAAATAAAGGACTAAGCTGAAAGAAAATGAATGAATGGATTATGTATTTGTTGATTATATATTGACCGCATTTTTCCATTTGAAGCTGAAGAATTTATGTATATAGTATATACAATGAATATACAGTGTAATGTACACTCAGATTTTGTTAATCAATATAACAAATAATTGTAAAATAAAAGACTGAATTATGATTCTGAGTTAAAGCTAAAAAAAAAATATTTTATTGTCAAACAAACTCCAATAATCTTTGGTTTATTTGTAATGAACAATTATGGAATTGAATATTAATTCTGTCAAAATGGTAAAAGGATTGATGGAAAAAGAGTTTAACATCTTATTTAAGACCATAAATCTACAAAGAGTTAAGAAAGCGAAATTAACTCTCAAATATGGTTTATTTTTCACAACAAATATTGTTTCTAAAAGCTTTGTAAAAGGGATGAAATATTAAAATAAAACTCTGTTGACTATAAAATAATAGTTTAGTGATATAAATTGTAATGAAGGTATAGCTGAGAGCAGACTTGCGGATCCAAATGCAGGTTTAATTAAAAGTTCAGTAATGCAATGGTCAATGCAGGGGCAAACAGGTGTATGCAGGCAATCCAGAGTTAGTAACACAGGCAGATGATCAAAAGACAGGCGGCAGACAGGGATGAACAAACTTACAAGGCGAGGGTCAAAACACAGGAAAACAAACCAGGAGAAACGCTTTGTAATGTTCATGGAATAAACAAGATTCGGCCCTAAATTAATGAATGTGAGGTGTATTTATAGTCCTTGTAATCAATGTAAATGAGCAGCAGCTGTGTCTGTGTGCAGGTGTCCGGATTATTGTCAGCTGTTGCCAGCGTTGATGAGCGCAGGGGTTTCTGGTAGTTGAAGTACGTTCAGCGGTGATCTTCCATATACCCCGCTGGCAATTGGTACAAACTACAGGAAGTGATCGCCAGCAGAGACAACTCCACTGGCAATCACAACATAAATCAATATAGTTTAGTATTTTTTATTTTGTTTATGCTTTTTTAAAAAGGCAAATTATAATGGAAACAGTGGTGACATGGTGGCTCAGTGGTTAGCAATGTCGCCTCACAGCAAGAAGGTTGCTGGTTTGAGTCCCGCCTGGGCCAGTTAGCGTAACTGAGTTTGCATGTTCTCCCTTTGTTCGCATGGGTTTCCTCTGGGTGCTCCGGTTTGCCCCACAGTCTACTAAATTGGCCTTAGTGTATGTGTGTGAATGAATGTGTATGGATGTATCCCAGTTCTGGGATGCAGCTGGAAGGGTATCCGCTGTGTAGAATATATCCTGGATAATTTGGGGGTACATCGTGCTGTGGCAACCCCTGGTGAATAAAGGGACTAAGTTGAAGGAAAATGAAACATTTTAAACTTTTTTTTAAAGTTTAAATGGTGGGTATTTGCTTATATAGCAAGATGAAATGTGAGGTGAATTGTGTGGATTTTTTATTTTTAATGACATGGATTTTGCAGCATAATTAAGTTGTTTGTTTGTTTGGAGAACCTTGTTTCTGTTTATATTTTTATATTTTACATTGTATATGCTTTCTGACATACTCTGAGGGCTTGGCCTTCACTTAACTGCTCTGTAATAGTACAACCCTGAAAGTTGTACATTAATAGTGAATGAATCTATGATAATTTTATCTTTTGTTGTGTTTCACAACCCCAAATCAGAAAAAGTTAGGACAGTATGGAAAACACAAATAAAAGTACATTACAAAATCCTGGCTGCGGAGGAATAGGATTCAGGTACTTGACTGGCCTGGCCTGCAGTCCTGACCTGTATCCAATATAGAATATGTGGCACATTTCAAAGCGCAAAATGCGACAACAAAGACCCCGTACTGTTGCCCACCTTTAGACTTGTTTGCAGGAAGCAAACACTTGATCACTTGGTGTCTTCAGTACCTAAACATCATTTAAGTGTTGTGAAAAGGAAAGGCAACATTACAACGTGATAAACGCATCACTGTTTAAATACATGTTTATTTTGAGAAAACAAAACAAACAATAAAAATAATGAGGAACACATTAAGTGAAGTTTCACAAACTAATTTCAAGAGGAGCACATGATATGATTGTGCACTGCTGGCCACTCATCCGTAATCAGTAATAATCCAATCAGAATGATCCTAGCTTAATATAAATGGATCCCTTTCTCCTTATTGCCCTATCTTCGTTTTGGAAGAATCCCCCCTTCCACCCCATCTACTCCTTTTTCTCCCCTTCTAAAGGGGGAGTGATCAAGACCTACCTGATCTCGGATCCCCTGAACCTTATTGACCGGGCGGGAGCCCTGGGCTCAAATATCTCCGAGCTCAGGGTTCTCTCCTGGGACAGCATGCCAAACCTGCTATAAATGCCAAGCATATCTAAATGGGAACTCTTGAAATAATGTTTGTTGTTTTGTCTGCAATAAAATACAAGTAAAAGTAATTTTAGAAATCACTACTTCCTTTTTTTTATTTACGTTTTTAATTCGGTCCCAACTTTTTCTGATTTGGGGTTGTTTGACTTTGTGCCTCTTACAAGCAACTGGGATGTGTAATCCACGATTTGTGTTTGTGTGTTTTGCAGGGTTCTCGAGTGTGGGTGAATCATAAAGATCAGCTGCTTCCCTCTACAGTGAACTCATGTGGAGATGGAAACCTGGTGCTCACCACCGACTACGGCGAGGTAAGACTCAGTAATCTGTCATAAAAACACACACATCCAAACACACAGATGCTGCCCTTTATGGCTGAATGGATGATGTGTGAGTCAGAGTTTAGGCTGGTTTGGTATTGTGCTCTGAATGTCATCATAACAACACAACAGAGGATGTGCGTGTGGATTTTAGAATGAAACTTTGAATGTCTGTTGTCTATGGTGGCAGAGAGAGCTTAATGCACAGCATTTTAAGAAAACACATACAATTACCAAAAACACCAGGGGTCTCATGTATCAACGCTGCGAACGGCAGGTTTCACGCTCAGAATCGCTTACGTTTGGATTTACTAACAATGAACTGAAGGTGGGAATGTGCGCAGCTCCACGCCAGCTTTATGGCTTGCGTTTGCACATTTTTTGTGCGTGTCTGTTTTATTTTCATTGGCGACTCCTAGAGGCAATTGTGTTAAATTCCTCTCTACAAAGTGTCTGAGCCTTGCAATGGCAGCTGTATGAGACGGGTTCATCTAGCAGGTATATAAGGTTTCCATACCATACAGTTGACCAGCTAAACAATAAAGCGCAATTTGCAGCGGTCGCCTGTTTTCCCAATGTAATCTGAGCTGTCTACTGCACACACATTGCTATAAAGACACTATCTGAAGATGAATTCGCATGCGTGAATCAGAAACATTTCCATTCAATAAATGTGCAAATAAAATATGATGCACAGACTTATTAATGATTCCTACTTGTCTTTCTCGTGATAAATAGTTGGCAAAATCTGATATGTAGCGGGGGAAAAAAGGAGAAAGAGTTCATCAGACGCTGGATTCGAACCGAGTTCATGCTCGAACGTGTCAAAACATGTTGACCTGCGTCTTACGAGCTGTGCCACTGAGACTGTTAAGAATTCTGCAACATTTAACACCTATAAATCACACTATTTCTTTTTTAATTCACTCAGTGCGATGTTCACACCCAACTGTGTTAACCGCATCAGCTAAACTCTCCTACTCTATTTTTTTCTTTTGTTGTTTATTCCGGAGGACAAACTTGCAAATAACACCGCTTTTCTCTGGTCTACCTCCGAAAGCAGCACCTCCAATTCACATTCTGTTCAAAGTTTCTCTTCTTGCTTGCTTTTTCCATTGCTTTTTTGTTGGGTTTTGCCAAAGTAGAGTCATTAGCATATTCATACGGGGGAGGAGGCAGGGAGGGGTTTTGTGCTCGTGCACGTTGCGCTCAGTTTCACGTTCATTCGGATGTACAAAAGAATATGCGTGAGATTCGGCGTACGCAGTGTTTCATACATCTGAATTTTTTTCTGCGTACGCACATTTTTACGTACGCAAAGTTTTAGTATGATTTCCACGCAAGTCTACGTACATGAGGCCCCAGCAAATTTAGTTTGACAGCACACATGTTGCAAATCCTCAAATGCATACATAAAGAAAACGCGCTACAAATTCTCACAATGCAAAAAAATCAAGGAAACATGCTGCAATTTACCACAACGCATGCAAATAGTAAGGAACACAAGGAAAATGTTTCAAGGGGACCCAAAACGTGACAGACCTAGCTATTTAGGTTATGGTTATTTAGGCTAATATTATACAAAAGACATGGCAATTGTGCAATCAGGATGTTAAAATAAACAAACAAAAAAACAATTTTAATAAAAAAATAAATAAACAAAAAAACTCGCCTTCCAAAGATCAGACGTGTGCTTTTACAACATTATTTGTGGTCAACAACTGCACTGGAATCTCAGACAGTACTTGCTTCACAGACATGACAAATATATCCACATAAAGCTTATATCTGTACTTGTAAATAAACCAACTACATCTGAAAACAAAAGTTTTCTGGTTTTGTAATCTGTATGAAACGAACGCAAAGTACATTCCTTCCTGTCAGTTACACATCACATGACAGCAACTACTCAAACGGCCACAGTTTTTTAAACAAGAGTCACTGTCATTTCTGGAGGAGATTACAGTGTAACACCATCAAGACCAAGTTGTGGATTACTTCAGAAGACCAGCGTGATCAGACGATCATTATCCAGAGGATGATAATGTGTAGAATGCCCATAAATGAGGCTGGTGTCGTGATCTTAGTTCTTTCGAGTGCGCATGCGCATTAGCTCAGGCAACCAGAAATTATGCAGATGTTGTTTGATTCGAACATTTAGTAACAAAACTTATGAGATGATTGTCGTTTAATTGTATTGGTGATTCCAAATGTATAATGTAAACGTAAGCTCGGCTAACAGTTTTGGAGAATTTGATGTTTCCCAATTCAGCCCGAGCATACTGCCCACGAGGCATTTCAAAGATGGCCGCCGAGTGACTTAAAGAGACTTTGGTTAACCTCTCTAAGCTACCGTAGTTGTTATATTAAGTCATTAACCTAAAAATATGCTTTTTTAATATATCCTATAAGTGCGTACAGGTCACTAGACCACCCTGAAAGGTCTATACCTCACTTTGTCTGGGAAAAAGTTTTTCCACCGCAGTGAAAATATTGTTTTTGAAGAGGAGATATGAATTGAATATGGACGTCTGGGTTAATGAATCATCAAGAAACAGAACATTGAATAACAATACATTTTTCACAAGTTGTTCATTTAGTGTCGAATGAAAGATGAGGTTGAGCTGCATCACCTTTTAAAGGGTAACCTGTTACCATGACGACATCTGTTAGTGGATAACTCTACACTAAGGGCAGCATACTCTGCTTGTTCTACTCAGTCTCTTTCTTCCATGTTTAATGTCTTTGGTTATTTCTCTGCGTGTATCACATTGCACCAAAACCGGCCAAAAGCTTGTGTAGAATGTTGGAGTGCATTACAGATGTTCATATGATACAGTCTCTCTCTCATTGTCATTATGGGAGGGTGAATGTATTGATTTAGCCTAAGATGTTCAGTTGGCAATTACACACACAGACACATGTTGGTATTAATGGTTTATGAGGACTTCATTTTTGTATTAAGGTTAAGTTCATTAGTTAAGTTACATTCATTCATTAATTTATTGTCTTGTCGGCTTAGTCCTTTTATTAATCCGGGGTCGCCACAGCGGAATGAACCACCAACTAATCCAGCAAGTTTTTGCACAGCGGATGCCCGTCCACCCGCCGCAACCCATCTCTGGGAAACATCCACACACACACACACTCATACAATACGGACAATTTAGCCTACCCAATTCACCTGTACCGCATCTCTTTGGACTGTGAGCACCCGGAGGAAACCCACGCAAAGGCAGGGAGAACATGCAAACTCCACACCGAAACGCCAACTGTGGTTGGGAACTGAGGTTCGAACCAGCGACCCAGCCACCTTCTTGCTGTGAGGCGACAGCACTACCTACTGCGCCACTGCCTCGCCTAGTTAAGTCACAGCTAAGTTAAAATAAAATAGGGGCGTCAAGGTGGTGCATTGCGTAGCACCATTGCCTCACAGCAAGAAGGTCGTGGGTTCGAGCCTTTGCTTGGTCAGTTGGGATTTCTGTGTGGAGTTTGCATGTTATCTCCGTGTTTGCGTGGGTTTCCTCCAGGTGCTCTGGTCTCCCCCACGAGTCCAAAGATGTGAATTGGGTAAAGATAAAATTGTCCGTAGTGTATATGTGTGAATGAGAGTATGTGGGTGTTTCCCAGGGATGGGTTGCAGTTGGAAGGGCATCCACTGTGTAAAACATATGCTGGATAAGTTGGCGGTTCATTCCGCTGTAGCGGCCCCAGATTAATAAAGCGACTAAGCTGAAAATAAAATAAATGAATGAATAAAATAAAACAAATCATTTACTAATTAAATTAAAGTGAATTAGTTAATTATGTTATGCTGTAAAAAATGCTTATATGGCCCTACGCTATCACTCCTAAACCAAAACCTCAGAGCAATCATGTAGCAAATTTGAATGTGATAAGACCCTGTTAAATATGATTTTTAAGGATTTTGTTTTACAAAGACACAAGCCATGTCCTCATAAACCAGCTTAATAGAGTACTGTACAACTAGGAACCCGTGTCTTTATACACATTTCTGTCCCTGTAAACCACCAAATTCAGCACCCACACACACACACACAATTGTTTTTGTGAAAAGTGGGGACATTACATAGGTTTCCATTCATTTTATACTGTCCAAACCGTATATTGTATTGCCCTTACCCCACCCCACCCTTAAACCCAACCATCACAAGAGACTGTGTGCAGCTTTACTCTCTGATTAAACTCATTCTGTAGGATTTATAAGCATTTTGAGAAATGAGGATGTCACCAATGTCCTCATATTTCACCTTCTTTTTGTAATACCTGTGTCATACACGTCATTATACAGATTTGTGTCCTCATATGTCACAAAAACACGTACACACACACACACACACACACACACACACACACACACACACACACACAGTGCTGACTGAGGTAAGTAGTTTGTGATGGCTGTGAACTGAGCTGGGATGTCAGGCTAATAATAACAGCTGTGCTGGCCTGGATTCAGCTCAGAGAGAGGTAGATGAACAGCAGGGAAGGGTTATTTGTATGTACAGGTGCATAAAGGAAGCCTGTTTGCATTTGTATTTGTCTACAAACTTTTTGTGTGGCACATTTGTGTTCCTTCATGCGCATCTGTTGGTATGCTTTATCAAAAATATCATTGCTATTTTCTTCAGGTAGGACAACTTGAAGTCATCATTACAGTTCTTTTATTGTTGCTTTTTCTTCTTACATATGCCATCTAGAATTACACTTGACATTCTGGGAGGCATGGTGGCTTAGTGGAAAGTCGCTGGTTCGAGTCCCTGCTGGGCCAGCTGGCATTTCTGTGTGGAGTTTGCATGTTCTACCCGTGTTTGCATGGGTTTTGTCTGGGTGCTTCGGTTTCCCCCACCGTCTAAAGACATGCAGTGCAGGTGAATTGAAGAAACTAACTTGACCTTAGTGTATGAGTGGGTGTGTGAATGAGTGTGTATGGGTGTTTTTGAGTACTGGGTATCCACTGTTTAAAACAT